ACATAACATTATAAAATTAAAATGTGATCTGTTCTTATGGCTAAATATGCGCAGTCGTCTTGGTTGAGTGTGCGCAGTCGTCTTGGTTGAGTGTGCGCAGTCGTCTTGGTTGGCGAGTGCTTGAGGCTATGGAAAGCTATGTTCATTGCCAGTATTTTACAGGACCCTCAGGTTGCTGTAGTGTATACCTGCGTCATCTGATTTTGCAGTTTCTTCTCTCTAGAAGAGCAGAATCAAACTGTCTCCTTCCTTCCTGTTGCAGGTGTCGCATGTGCTCGCTGCGCTGCAGGCCGGTAACCGTGGCACCCAAGCCTGCATCACAGCAGCCAGCGCCGTTTCTGGTATTATCGCCGACCTGGATACCACCATCATGTTCGCCACGGCAGGCACCTTGAACCGGGAGAACGCAGAGACCTTCGCTGACCACAGGTAACGTCGGTGGTTTCTCGATCATGTGTTCCGTTCCGATGCTGCATTGCCTGATGGCATCAAACCCTCTGTTCCCCGTCCTGTATCCAGGGAGAACATCCTGAAGACCGCCAAGGCCTTGGTGGACAACACCAAACAGCTGGTATCCGGGGCTGGGGCAGGTCAGGAGAAGCTGGCACAGGCGGCTCAGTCGTCCGTTATGACCATCACCAATCTGGCGGATGTAGTGAAACTAGGAGCGGCGAGCCTGGGGGCCGAGGACCCCGAGACACAGGTGAGTCTGTCTGCAAGAGGTTCCGCATGGGCAGCACCTAGAGCCGCCCTCAGTACCCACATTGCCTAATGATCAAAACGGAGCATTGTAGATGTGTTGTGTTTAAGTACTTCCTGTTTTTCCTTTTCTGGAGGCTCTTTATTCCCCTTCTGGCTTTGCTTTCCATCCGGATGTGGGTATACTTTTTTGTTTCCTGGGAATGAATTAAATGTCCATGTCTTTTTGACAGTGAGTTTCCATTGTTGTGTGTTTGTGAGTGTGTGTTTTGGCAAATGTCTTTGGAATGAGGAAAAGTTTCTGGTTAACAAAATATTTTTTTTTATATAGTAGGGGGATAAAGAAGTATCCTTAGATCAGAATGAATTTCCACCTGAGGCTTTTCTGTCTCATGTTGGCCGATACCCAGTTCAGACACTGGGTGGTGTCAGTTTTCATTCCAACTTGAAATAAAATTAAATTGTATCTTTGATTGGACTATGGATGCTGGTCTTACTTGTATAAAACTATCTGGAGGCCTTGGAATGACCTTGGAATGGGTTTCCCCATCCTCTTGCATAGTAGCTGGTGTCCAAATGACAGGATTTGTAGCCTGTAAAAAAAAAAAAAAAACCAATAGAGCTCATGTTCTTGGTGATATTTTGACAGGCATTTTGACATCTTCTTGTATTGTGGCATTAGGCCATGCTTCTTCTCTGCCCAGATTGACCGAGACAGTCAGTCCGCCCTGCTGGCTCCTATAGGCTGCCTGTCACCCAATGATAGATTCTCCTGGCCTTCCCCACACATGCTGCCTTCATTCCTTTGTGGGAATCATGAAAGCTAGCCCAGGGTGCCAGAGAGGTCTGTGTACATTTTTATAAAAACAAGCCCAGATAAATCGTTATTGAACATGCATGGAAGTGGGACTAAAGCCTTCCTCTGAGAATTAAACGACATTCGCCATCATGCCATTGCATGATTAATCACTTGGTTTTAAACTAACAGTGCATCTGTTGCCTTAAAATAGCTATTAGCTGAACGCAGTGCACAGCAGATGGTTTTATCGCCCTGTTACAATTATGCTTAACGTAGCTTAACGAGCTAAAGATCTTCGTAAGTTTCACATGGAATCGACCTGTGTAATGTCATATTTTGTTACACTGTGTCTTATTCATCGGCAGTGGGTCATTGTCCTTCAAAAGCCTCTGCTTCTGACTATTTCTGCTCCCACCACTTCTATGATTGAAAGGACGACCTGTCGTGCGTTCAGTCTGAGAGATGGTTGGCGTAGCGCTGCGCTGTGTCTGAATGAACAGCAGGGGTCAGTGCGGCACCCTCGTGAGGTGATTCCATCCTCAGTGTCGCTGCTTGTTCTCCTCAGGTGGTCCTCATCAACGCCGTGAAGGACGTGGCCAAGGCCCTCGGCGACCTCATTAGCGCCACCAAGGCCGCCGCAGGCAAACCTCACGATGACCCCGCCATGCTGCAGCTCAAGAGCTCTGCTAAGGTAGGGCATTCCAGGAGGCTTCTTCTGGAGGACCACTTTAATGAAAACCCATGATTTTGGCTCATGGAGGTACAGTAACTGAAAGATTTCCTCGGTTAAGTGTTTTGACTTTTTGTCAGTTTTACTCAATAACCCCAAACTGCTGTAAGTAGCGTCATGCTAACAAAAAGTTTCTTATGTCGTAAATTACAGTATCTTCTTGCACATTCCCTTGCACTTGCAGTATACCTGCAACCACTGGCCGGTACTGTACCACTAAATGGTCACTCCGTAATGATTTGTATTCTTAGTACCTTTCATCATTATTTTTATAATCATTAATTATCATTACTATTGCCAGTTTTGTCAGTCTTATTATTCTTTATACTTCATCCTATTATTTTGTTTGTTTATGTGTAAGGTACTGTTTACCTAAATTTTCTTAGGGATCAATGAAGTATCTGTTTGTCTGTCTATGTATTGTCTATCTTTCTGTCAATATCTATCTATCTATCTCATTCAAAAATTTAGACTGCTGTATACTATTTTGGATGGTAGGTAACACTGCAGAAGCTTGTACCAGTTTCTCAGCTCATAAACACATTATAAAGACTCCTGTCTGTACGTCATTAATCACAGCCAGTGAGGGGGGAGGGGCTTTTCACCGTCGCTCCTGTGAAAATACATTCAAATAGTTTCCATGAAAATAGAATAAAGAGTTTCACACAGTGGTTGATCAAGAAGGGCTCCTTGGATTTGAATACTGAAGGCCGCTCCTTTTTAGGTGATGGTGACCAACGTGACCTCGCTCCTGAAGACCGTAAAGGCCGTGGAAGATGAAGCCACTAAAGGAACGCGAGCCCTGGAGGCCACGATCGAGCACATCAAGCAGGAGCTGGCCGTGAGCATCTCCACGATTGGGCCACGCATCCGTGGTTGATGATTTCCATTCTCCTGTGGGGTGACTTATCTCGCCATATCTGAAAGTCCCGGCCTCTTTTCGTTTGCAGGTTTTCAGCAGTGCTGACCCGCCCCCAAAGACAGCCACCCCGGAAGAGTTCATCCGCATGACCAAGGGCATCACCTTGGCGACGGCCAAAGCAGTGGCTGCTGGGAACTCATGCCGCCAGGAGGACATCATCGCCACGGCCAATTTGAGCCGGAGAGCGATCGCCGACATGCTGCACTCGTGCAAGGTGAGAAGGGCGTGTGCCGACTCTAACAAGCTATTTAAAGGTTAACGAATCTTTAATCTTTAACAGCTAAATGTGCAGTTCTGCAGACGACCTTTTCACGCATCACATTATTCAGACTCTTACTCATCTGTATTATTAAAGCACTGGTGTTATACTGTCATCATAACATATAAAATGTTACAAGATATGAAATAAAATAGGATATAAAAATGTTTAAAGGTTTCACACACAGATGCACAGACCTGTTCAATTCCAGGAAAAACAAGAATGATAGGAAATTTAAGAATCTTAAGACTTTTCCATGTTATTGCATGTTTTCATTATGTTTTTTAATAGATGTTTTTAATTAAGAACATAATTATAGATGCCTTTGTTTTATGGTAACTCTTTATACTGAACGAAATACATAGCGTCCCCTGGTGCTTAGGATTAGGATATCGATTTGGATGCTAACATTTTTCTTGTCTTTCCCGCTTCAGCAAGCAGCCTACCATCCCGACGTTGGCTTGGAGGTGCAGATGCGCGCCCTGCGCTTCGGAAAGGAGTGTGCCAGCGGCTACCTTGGCCTTCTGGAGCACGTGCTGGTGGTGAGCATGACCTTTCAGTTCCGCCGCCGTAGCCGGTCCAGTTCGGGCCTTCGGGGCGGGAACTTTTTACGATCGCCACGCGACCCAAGGCCAGCCAGCCTGCTCCCTGCATCACATCGGTCAGATACGGATATGAAACCGGAACCCTGGAAACCACTTTGGGCTTAATCCCTGTGTTAAATACATGTCCCCACCCCCCTGTGCGTAACGGGTTTTGCAGCGATGCCGTATCAGTTACTTATGGAGATTTACAGCATAACCAGCTTGCACGTGCAGAGAGGCAGCATTTGCCTGACCTTTAAGGACGGTCTGCCTTATCCTGACACCAGAGCATTAGCTCCTCGCGTCTCCTTCTCCTCCTCAGCCCGGGCAGGAGTTATAAGAAATGGCGCTAATAGTTGGTTAGCATTGGGACTTTATTTTGGCGGTTTCTCCCACACGCCTGTCATAAGAGGCTTGTTGAGGCATGACGCCCATCTTCTAAAGCGACAAGTTCCAGGCGACTGGTTACTTGGGATTGATGGGTAGAGCCAAGACTCTGGGGCAAGACCCCCGAGCTGTGGCGAGCGAATGAGTAGGTGCATGCTGCCAGGGGAATTTGGAAGTCCTCTAAAGTTTGATATTTGGTTTTAATGTTCGGTCTTTGGATAAACGGTACAAACTCGTCATTGCGTCATCGACTGAGGAAGTGAAATGCGGGCCAAGAGGAAGCAGCCCCTGCAAATCCCCCGGTGTTCCCATTACAAAGACGCTAAAGGCGGCGGTTTTGCCGCTTTTTAAATAAACGTGTCACGCCTGGATCCTCTGGTCGCCTTGTTTGGCCCCCTGCTGCTTTTTCAGAGGCCGCGGCTTTTGGAGTGGAATAACAGTGGGATCCACAAAAGAATGTGCAACTGTGTCACAAGCTCGGCTATTTGTGCTGAAAAGTACTCGGGGGGGGTGTCCAAGTAGAGTGAGAAACGTTTCCATCCAGGCAAAGCTCCTACTGCATTGCTTCCCCCCCCCCCATCGCGCTGTGTTGAATTTCTCATACAAAAATTATTGAAGTGAGCTTCCTGTCAGCAGTATGTTTATCACATTGCTTAATGTCAAAAGGCAGCATGAAAATAGATGCACTTAAGGGTTAAAAAAATTATTGAAGAACAATTATCTATCACTTAAAACTCATGCACTCCTCTTCATATGCTGATTTTTCTGCTGCGGGCATCAGATGTCACACTATTTTAAAATGATCTTTGCAAGTGTTAAGTTCTGAAATATGTGTGATTCGGATGGTTACTGTGCCGTTGGTGTTTATTTATTCTGTCCGTCTTCCTCGCCTGGTTCACTTCTCCATTCGCACGGCGGTAGCCGGTAAGTGACAGGAAATGCTGCTTCTGGTTGACCTGCACGAGTGTGGACCTGCATCTTGTATTGCAACAGATGCCTGCAGTGTTTAAGTCAGAAAAGTAAATTTTTTATTCCTTATAATAAACATAGCATAATTCATCAGCCAAAAGTTTCTTACCCACCCTTCAGTCTGAAATTAACTGCACAAGATGAATTTTACATTGTAATTAGAGTGAATTTTAGTTTTAATCCCTAGTTTAATTTCAGTCCCTATTGTAATACCTTGGACTGTTTTGTATGCAGTACTGAAATTTGATTGGGTGACATAACAAGCAGTCAAGCAGGTTTAACCAATCTGAAGTAACGGCACGCCCCCGGCGCCTAACACGCTCCAGCTGCCAAACGCCTCAGTGTGTCACTCAGACATTCAGAGTAAATCTGCTTGCTTGACATTCAGTGGCGCCTCCTCTCCCAGAGCAAAAGTCTAAATCACAATGAAATGGGTTCACTTATGGTGGCCCAGAGACCCAACGCATATTTCCTAGGCATCCATCTCTCTGCTGATTCGCTCTGGCGCTAACATGGCCAACCAATCATAATTTGAAAATACAGCTTTCTGTGGGTTAGTTCTTTAGATGGCCCTGTCACCAGTGCTGCTTTGGTGCTCATGGTAGCAGCCGTTCCCTCAGATGCTAAATGTGTCCAAGCAAAGCCTGGTTCTCTGCTGTTGTCATTCTGGGGGAGTGAGGCGTCACATGATGTCGGGCCTGTGCCTTTAGACAGCTCTGCCACGCAAACCCCGCTAGCCAAAGTGTCCAATTCCACTGTTCACCTCCACAGCAAAATGATGCATCTTTTTGTAGATGAGAAACACAGATCTCAGAGCTTGGAAGCCAGGGTGTGTGTGTGTGTTTGTCAGCATTGGTGTGAGGACTTAAGCAGGCAGTCAGTTATAGAAACTGCTCTTCCAGCTGTTATGAGTCATTGACAGATACATGCATTATGTGCTTCTTAATAATTCAACTCATCCTAGTATATATGTGTGTGTGTGTGTGTGCATGTTTGTGTGTGTGTGAGATTGGTGAGTTTATTTACCCTGCTGACGTATGTGTTTCATTGGGGAGTTAATTTACATTGTGTATGTGTGTGTGTGTTCACTAGTGTTTTTCCTCCACTTACATGTTGAGACACGCCTGGCGTGTTTCTTATGCATCTCGCTCTGTGTATTTGCTGCTTGGTGGTTCATTGGTCAGTCAGCTGTACCAGGCCCCGCCCCCTGGCCACTCCCAGCATTCCTCTGCCACAGTTCTCCCCTCCTCCCCTCTTTTCTGCCCATCTGAGCTAAGCTCTCCCGTCGCATGCCAGGGCATTGGCGGGTGATGGGACAGCCACCCTACATGTCCCGCCCCGGTCTGTCCCCTTTACCCCGTTCCGAGGGTAAAGCGGCCCTCATCCTTCCAGCCAGGCCGCCCATACTGGTTTATTCAGGCTGCTGCTTACTGGAAATGTTCTGTTTGTTTATGCGTATGGGCTGGCCCTAATTTAACACCTTTTGTTTTGTGCCAAAACCTTAAAAAGAACCTTGTGTTGATGTGATTAGATCACACACAATATGTTCAGCATAAACTTTCCCTAGACTGCAACATGGCACTGGCACAATTAGTTTTTGTAATAGTAAATACATTTTGCTTAATATTCATCAATATTCATCACCTTTAGCCAACAACAGATTATTTCCCCTTTGTGGCATTTGTACCACCCCATGGTAGAGGGTGTATACACAAAATAATATAGCCACCTGAGTAAGTCTTTGTCAGAACTGCCCATAAGGTAACCCTGTTGTTTCTCTTCCTTTGTCCAGATCATCCAGAAGCCGTCCCACGATCTGAAGCAGCAGTTAGCGGCCTACTCCAAACGCGTGGCGGGCTCTGTCACCGAGCTCATTCAGGCTGCGGAAGCCATGAAGGGTAACCCGACCCTCTCCAGCCTGCCTGCTCCTCAATCTGTAGGCCCCGCCCCATTATCCAAGACCCTGCCCCCAGCTCCCAAATGCTCCACCTACTCGTATGTCCATTGACCTTCCCCTTGTAGCGAGCTGAGCCGTTACTGAGGCAAATTACTTTATTCACACTTTGTCACATTTTAAAAATCTTTGCCAAAGCAGAGGGTAGAAGGAGACATTAGTATAGCTTCTGGGAAGAGACTGAGGGTAACTTCACTGTCTTCCGAGAAACTGCATGAGCAAGATTATATATTTTATAGCATGTTTTGTTCTATCGAAATCACCCATTATAATGAGTGAGTGAAACGCAACCCTCCTCGCCTGACATGTGATAATGTCACATTCTGACTTGGCAGCTGGCGTGAGAGAGACGTGTCTATATCGGACACGCGTCCATGTAAAAACAGCGCTGCTGGTACACGCTGACACTTATGGAGAAATAAAATAATTGGCATAATTTAACGAGAAGCTGTTTAACGAGAAATGTAAATAAAGTTTCTTTTTGATAATGGAAACTATTATTGGCAAAAATTCACACATATTTTGTCAGTTTAAAATACCAAAACATTAAATTAAACCTTATGTGCGCCATTTCGCATTTCCGTGGTAACCATCCCCGCCTCATTGTTTCCCCAGCCAATCAGGGGATTACATGCTCAGGTGAATGGTGACTTTTTTTATGGAGCTTCTGTTTTTACAGTGTATCACCCCCCCCCCCCCC